TTTACCTTTCTTGTCTTTTATAATAATTTAGTTCAAGCAGGCTCTGGGAAAATCACACTTTTATTTCAAGATCCAGAAGATCAATACAGCAGTATACATTTAGTGCTTCAGGGAAAATTTACTCAAAATTGTTTCATGATGAAAATGCCAAAGGCAGATGCTTTTGTTCAATCTGCTACTTTGAAGGGACCTTGTAATCTCAATTCCACATTAAAGACTTGTGGCCACTGTATCAAACAAAGGCAGCTAGGGGTACCTGTGTAGTGGTTCTATTAAAAAATCCCACAGTATTCACAACATTTTAACATAGCAAACTATGTAATTACTTTGGACTAACAGCTGATCCTATAATGTATTAAATAGTTTTACTCATATACCTACAAAATCTATCTGTTCTTTGCTTAGCCAGTGCTCCCCCCTGCAAGTGAAGCAGGTCACAGAGCATTTAAGCCAGTTCTACCTTGCAAAGGTTTTGGGGAATATTCAACAGAAACACAGATCAAATTGAACTTAGAAACAATTCTGTGCTGATAAATCAGCATTTCCCATTATTTCTGGTTTTGTAGTGGTACATATAATATGGAAGCTTTCTAGATATTTAGGAAATCAGTTGAAACTTGTAGTGAAATCATATATCCAGGAAAGGGAGGGTGACTTCAGTCACCCAGCATTAGACCCTGTTCCCCACTTCATATCATGGCATTGGCAGCTCCAGATTTCCTACTGTGGTCCCGTGTTCTCAGTGTGGCTCTGGGATCCTGATGATTTGGGCTCTCAACAACTGCATTTTACCAAAGCAGGAGGGAAGTTCAGACCCTGCAGCAGTCAGAGTGTATTTAGCTCTTCTTTTGACACCTAAGCTGGGCTGAAGGGCTGTGTGCAATAAAGCTGGTCTTGCTCCCAGTCTGGCAGCCAGAATCATTCCTGTGGCTGGCATTTCAGCTGCTGGCTGAAATGAGTTTCATCTGTGCACAGTGCAGAAGTTTCATTATTTCAAATCCTGATACGGGAGAACAGGATATTTTAGGTAATAATCAACATAAAACAAAATTCCCCCCTCTCCCCGCCCCCAATGAATATAGTCTTATTTTCTGCTGAGATTTAATACTCTGCAGGTAACTTCTAAATCTGGTGATTGTTTTTAGAAGGCAGGTTAAATGACCAAGGGAAAGAGATGAGGAAATTGAAATAAACAGGACAGAGGAAATCCATTTCAGAGATCAGATACTACAACATTCACTACAGAGGGCAAGTGTAGGGGTAGGCAAAGGGGAGCAGGGAAGGATGAATGCCTAAAGCCACTAATGAGAGTATTTGGAAGAGTGCCTTGAAGGCTTTAGTCTTTTCTCTCTGTTCCTGACAGAAGAAGGAAAAGCAAAGTGAGCTTCCCTGCATCCTCCCAGTGATTCTGCTGGAGCCTAAGCAGAAGGGAGCACCATTAGGAGACTTAAAGTGGTAAAATATTTTGCTACAGTTCACATTAATTTTTTTTTTCAGGCTGCTTGAAATTCAACAGCTTATCAATTATGTCTAAAATGGGGCTTTATCCATGAATCTGGAGCCCAAAATAAGTATTGTTACTTGTCAAATATGCAGTTCATGAAAGAAGCTTTTGATTATTTCACTATATATTTTGTGTTAAGTGTCTCTGACCCTTGGACATGAAAACATAAAGAGCTAGAGGATCACCACTTGGCTTTTCTAATTCTATTAATTTACACGCTCCTGTCCAGACTTCCTGAAATCAGTCTTTGCTTGTGCCTGCCCTGCAGCTTTCACACACCACTTCAGAGCCAGCTGTGCCTGAGTAGCTGCACTTTTCTCCCAACTTCTAGACGACAATTTGGCCAATCAAAAAAAAGGATTTTAACCATGTATGTTTCTGAGATCTGTAGTAATAAACATGAACTTGAAGCTGCATGTATTTTATGATCGTCCTCTGCCCTCTCTTCTCTCTGCCCTGCATTCCTGTCTTTCCTGAGCTCTGGGGGGGAAGCAGACCCTCCAAGTGCAGTAGCCAAATATTTAATGTATCACAGCACTTTCTTTTGAGATCAGTGCCAGACCAACAGAGCAGTGGCATTGCTGAGCAGCAGCAGCAGAGCGAGGACTCAGGCTTTCCTTCCAGGGAGGGAGGGAGGGGTACCTGCCAGCCCAGAGCTGTCCTTATCGCTGCTTTATCGAGGCACAGAGCAGCACACACTGTATTCAGGTCACAGAGCAGAGCTCCAATCTCTGACTCCTTATCTGGTATTTCTTGCTCCTGGGTATTTGCTTTTGTGGCTGTATGAGTTACTGGGGCACATGAACCCTGGTCTGTGATGGTTTCTTCAGGTAAATCTTATAATTTTGAGGCGAGAACGAGTCATTTCAAGTTCTGAAGAAATGTGTGTGAACAGGAGCGAAACACAGCAGAGCCCAAGGGCTGGCGATGGCTCCAGCACACCATGCCCTAAGGCTGCCGTGAAACACCTCCTCCTCTTAACATGTAGACGGGAAGCGCCTCTCCCAGGGGCTACAGCAGAACTGTGCATTAAACGGGTTTTTGAGCAACTCTTTATTTAGGGGAGGTCATGGGGTGAGACAGCAATCCCTGTGAGAGGCTGTATCTACCTTACGCAGCCCTTGGCTTCAATCACTGTAGCTTTTTGGTGCACAAGGAGCCAGCGCACGAGGCGAGGGGTCGGGGCCGCTGCGGGGCGCCACGAAGGATGCCACCCGTGCGGAACAGGGAGCCCCGTCCTGTCCCCTCACGGACCTGAGTCTGAAGGCGGGTCAGAGCGGTGTGTCGGTGCTCGGGGGACAGAGCGGTGTGTCCGTCCCGGGACACAGAGCGGTGTGTCCGTCCCGGGGGTCACAGCGACGTGTCTGTGTCCGGGAGCAGAGCCGTGTGTCAGCCCCGGGGGACGAAGCGGACTGTCAGCTCCGGGGGTCGGAGCGGTGTGTCCGTCCCGGGGACCAGACTGGTGTGCCATCCCTGGAGACAGAGCCATGTGTCTGTCCCGGGGCACAGAGCGGTGTGTTCGTGTCCGTGTCCGTGTCCGTGCCCACACGGGCGGTCAGAGCGGTGTGTCGTGCCCGTGTCCGTGTCCATATCTATATCCGTGCCCGTGTCCGTGTCCGTGCCCGTGCCGGTGTCCGTGCCCGCCCGTGCCGGGCCAGCCCGGTGCCCGCCCCTCTCTCTCGGCCCGTCTCCCCCTGCCGGGGCGGAGCCGCCTCCACGTGACAGCGGCTCCGGGGAGCGAACATGGCTGCGGGCGCGGGGTGAGTGCGCTCTGCCCTGCCCCTTCCCCTACCCCTTCCCCTCTCCCTGTCCCCTCTGCCCGCTCCCCTCTCCCTGCTCCCGGCCCGGCCCGGCCCGGCGGGGTCTCGCAGGGGGTGAGGCCGGGCCGGGGGTGCCCCGGCCGGCGCGGCACAGGCTGTGGCCGAGCAGCCTGCGAGGGAGGCCGGGCTGACCGCGCTGGAGCGGCGGGTCCCTGAAAGGATTTCAGGGTTTGGGGCGGGGCGGAGAGAGCTGTGCAGGGTCCCACGGGCCTCCCCCTGCCCCGCCGGGTGGGCTCGCGGCGCCTCCTTCCCAGCCGTGGGTTATCCTTTAAGTTCTGTTAGATTTGGTGCTTAAAGATGGCTTGGATTGCACAGCACGAGGGGTCCCCAGCCACGTCTTCCAGTGCTGTAAGAAGGTACTATTAAAAACTGTATCAAAATGAGGGGGTAACTTTTCGTGGCTGCCAAAGCCAGATTAGGCTGGGGCTGGGCTCTGACGCTTCTTTGGGGACAGGTCGCTCCCCGGTGGGGTCCCCTCTTCGCCCGGGTTTCCCCCAGCGCTGACCAGGCGTCCCCTGGGCAGGGATGCTCCTGCATCCCTGGATTGAGTATTCCCTGGGCAGGGATGCTCCTGCATCCCTGGATCGAGCGTTCCCTGGGCAGGGATGCTCCTGCATCCCTGGATCGAACCGGGCTGGGGAGTGCGGGGAGACACCGAGCGGCGCTGGACGGCACAAGGAGCGCTGAGTTTGCCGTGAAGAAAAATATCCATTTCACATCTTGAACAGCGCTAATTGCTTTTCCTGTTTCATTGTATCGCCTGTTTGCTTGTGCTTGTGCTGCTGTTAAGTGTATAGGCCTCTTGAGCTTCAGGTATTTGGTGTGGGAACAGCATTGGAAATTGTCAAGGCTTCAGGCTAATGTTGGTAAATCTGTTACTCAAAACAAACAAATAAGTAAGGCCCAGTCAACAAACAAGCAATAACTCATTGGAAAGTAGTTTCAGTGGTTTCTCATCTTCATTGAAATCTGGATCCTGTCTGCAGGACCTCAGTAGAAGAGAAATGGCCGTTCCATGAATTTTCTGCTGAAAAAAACACATAAGTGCAAAAGGTTAACTGAAAAATGATAGGAAAACCAGAAATAAAATAGGGGGGTTTGGTTACCAGTGTGTTCTGGTGGTTCTGGCATTGCAACAGTGATGGATCATACAGTGCCAAAATGTAAGCTCTCTGAAGGTATAAAACTTCTGAAATAAGCATTGAAAATCAGCAGTTCTGGGCAAAAGAAAAAATATCCTTTAAAGAAACAGATGTAGTTTAATGTTCCTAGCTACATTTCACTTCCACTATCATAAAATAAAAAAGCTCTTCTGTGAGCTTGGGCCTAAGTGATCACAAAAATTGTGTGTGGCAGCCAGCAGGAAACTGTCAGCTACTGTGGGAGACCTTTACCAGACTGAGCAGTGGGTTAATGCTGGTACCAGACTGGAGAAAAGGAGGAAGCTGAGCTTCTCTTGTCCTGTCCTGGTCTTGCAAGTAGCCACTTGTGATGCTGACTAAGGAATAATTGCAGAAGCTTCCTGGAGGCCTGCAGCACAAAGCAGTGTTGGTATCAAATAGCTGTCATTATCAAATATGCAATTCTGCAGGAGAGCTCTTAATTGGTTGTGGCTGGAGATGCTTAAGTCTTTGGAAACCGACCTTGAAGGAGCAGCCAGTGGAGTCAATGCTGATAATGCAGTGAGGGCAAGTCCAGAGGAGGCCACAAAGTTGATCAGAGGGCGGGAGCACCTCCCCTAAGGAGACAAGCTGAGAAAGCTGGGGCTGTTCAACCTGGAGAGGAGAAGGTTGCATGGAGAGCTCACAGCACCTCCCAGTATCTGAAGGGTTCTGCAGGGAAACTGGAGGGAGACTGTTCATTAGGAATTGTAGTGACAGGACAGGGAGTAATGGGTACAAACTGAAAGAGAGGAAATTTAGGCTAGATATTAGGAAGAAGTTCTTTACTGTGAGGGTGGTGAGATGTTGCACAGATTGCCCAGGGGGGTTGTGGGTGCCCCAGCCCTGGCAGTGTTCAAAGCCAGGCTGGATAAGACCTTGCTCAGCCTGGCCTAGCAGGAGGCGTCCCTGCCTGTGGCAGGGGGTTGGGGCTAAATGGTCTTTAGGTCCCTTCCAACCCAAACCTAAAAGTCTGTGTTTTGTGTGTCTTGTGTGATAAAGCTGAGTGATCAGAGATCACGGCCCAACATGGAAAGCTTGTAGTTCCTTCTCTAGATAGAGTTTTGTGGCAGTATTGTTACCAGGCAAATAACACACTTTTACACTGCTCACACTGTAACTGCACGTGTATTTGCAGGGTTGATACGTGTGTGAGGCAGTTACAGACACGTACCCACTTACTACAGGGGGTTACACAGCCAGTCCTCAGTGTGAAGTTTTTTTTCTTGTGATCTTGAGTACTGTGAGAGTTCTCTTCCCAAATTATTTGTGGTGGAAAGCCGGGTGTACAGTCCTACTCCTTCTTGTAAGCCTTGAGTTCCTCTCTCAGTGTCATCTTGGAAAAGAGCTCTCTGTAAGCTGTGGAAAGCTCGTGCTTGGTTCATGTGTGTCTAGTGACACAATCTCTGCAGGCAAAGCAGCACCTGGGGGTGTCCTGCCACGCTGACAGTGCATTCATGAGAGTGCCCTCAGTGGGGTAATTGGGTGCTTGCAGGAGGAAAGAGAGAACAAAAGCTGTGGAGGAAGCAAAGTTTGCTATGCCCAAGGAAGAACACGCTTTTGCCGTGGGCTTAGGGAAAACGTGCAGAAACCCCCCATTTTGCACCAGAATGCATTTCAGCTCTAGCATTAAGGTCCCAGTAAAAGGCATGCTTAGAGTGGCTTAGTGAGGCTACCAGTAGGAATTGCTGCCTGGCATAATTATTTCTCCCTGAGTCTCATTTTGATCGCCAAGGGTTTTACGTGTAATAAAAGCATTAATAGTAGACTTAAGGGAGATGAAATTGTGCCTTTGTACTTTGTAGAGGCTTCCTATGAGCTCTAGGATGTAGGAATAGGCCTGGAAGAGAGAGGTCAGAATTCTCTTGTTTTCTTTTTTTTTTTTTTAAATCACAGAAAAAGATCTCAAACTTGTGAAGTGGGTAAAATTGCAGTGACGGTGACTTTTTTCCTTCCTTTGAAGCAAAACATGAGACAGGTTGTGCTACAACCTCTGCCTCTTTTTTTTTTTCTCTTTTTTTTTTTTTTTTTTTTTTTTTTTTTTTTTTTTTTTTTTTTTTTTTTTTTTTTTTTTTTTTTTTTTTTTTTTTTTTTTTTTTTTTTTTTTTTTTATCAGCAGGTACAAAGATCTGAGAGCAACATATGGCACAAGGGTATCTGATGATGTTCTCTCATCCCTTTTATGAATGTCCCATAAGATGAGCACATGATTTCCAGGCCCCTGCATGTTGTAACTCCAGAGGATGATCATGTTTGGATAACAGCATTTTCAGCCTCTTGTGCCCTGCTGAGTTACTGAGCCGCACCTTTGTACCTGAAAAGCCTTGCCTAGTTTTAGTTTAAGGTTCACTCTCTGATTTAAAACTTGAAGTAGCTTTTGCCAGGATTGTATGAGCTTTCTTCCTCCTTTCTACAGGCATGGGTACCCCAAAATGAAAGTTAATGCTGTGCTTCCAGGCTATGCTGCTGTGCTGCAATAGGTAGTCTGCAGCCCTTGTAATGATCACCTGCCTTGGTGCTGGGTTGTCAGGTGGGTGTGGGAAAGAACAAAACTAAACACATATAGGTTTTGTGCACCATCAGCTGAACTCCTAAGCAGATAATTTGCAAATTGGATTAGCGAGAGCAGTCTTTCACCTTTTAAAATTACTTATGCTGTTATATCAAGTAGTTATAAACAAGTAAAATAAAATATTTTATTAGCTCTTTTATGCTGTGTCTGCAGTAGGAAATTATAGGGTTTACATTTCTGAGGTTGATAAAGTCTTTCAGGAGGTCATGCAGCTATAAACCAAAGGTTACTTTCAGATTGCTTATGGAAGCTGTATAATGATTAAAATGTGGAGCCCTGCTCCCCTAAGGTTAAGTCCCTTGGTGGTTGGTTCATTTCTTGTCACCTTAACTCAGTAACAATTCGACTGCACCTTTCTGTCAACTCCTCTTAGAAGCATATGGGGTAGAAAACCTCCATCCAGCCACTCAGTCTTCAAGAAGCTGAGGTAGAGGGACAAACTGGACTTAAATAATAGGATTTTATTGGTAAAACAGTATTCATCTGTAGTACTGAAGCTCCAAAGCACAGCTTTGCTATATTAAGCATAAAAACAACAACAAAAACCCCAGCAGGACTGCTCTTTAATTCTTCTCTCATCATCTGATGGAACTCCTCCTCCCCACCCCAATATCCTACGAATGCTGTTGTGTTTCTACTGGTAAAGCTCCAGAAAGTGCATTTATAGACCTGTAACAAATCCGAACGACTCAGCAACATATTCTTGTAGTAGTTTGAACACCTTAAATTACTTAATAACAGCGAGCTCTCTGCTTTTAAACTGTATCTTAAGCTGTTTCCAGCTGCAGCTCTGTTGAGTACAACCTTCCAGAAACTTTTCAGGCTGTGTCAGCACATTTGGGCTGCCTTAGGGGCGGGTGGTGATGTGTAGCAGGAGGCCACTGGCACACAAGACAAGCTCCTGTGGCCACGTGTTTGACTTCAGGGACCTGCTGAAGCTGCTTCAGTGCATGCAGGAATAAACATACGAATGTAGAAAAGAAATTTGCAGGTGCCGTGTGAGCATGGGAAACGCTGTTGTCTTGCATCTGCTATCCATCATCTTTTCTCCCCAGTTTCAGCTACTGAATGTTTCCCAGAAGGACTTGGTGAAGTTTGCCAGACTTAGTGTGACCTTCTAATTCAGTTGTCAGCAACTCAGAACTCCTTTTCTTCTCTCCTGCTCTGCCCTTCCCCAGCTGACATAGGCTGTAGTAGCTTTCTGCAGGTACACTTCGTGTTGCTGTACCTAAAGAAAGTAAGGAGTGAGATGCTGTGGGCTGCAGCTGCAGCCAGCCTCGTCTCCTCTTGCCATCTTTTTCCTCTAGTTCTTATGTGAGCAGTGTTTGGTTGTCTCTTGATCAGATGCTCATACAGAGCATCTCTTCCCTGTGAGTGATCAGCCTCTTGTTTGTAGAGCTGAGCTAAACTGAAGGGATGGACACTGTGCATCTGAACTGTGCTAACCACTGTCTTTGTTTTCCATTAATTGTCAATTAAAAAAAATCTCTTCTAGACCCTCCTTTTGGCTGGGGAATGAGACCCTGAGAGTGCCTTTAGCACTCTTTGCCTTGAACAGAAGACGCCTGTGTGAACGCCTGAGACAGAACAAGGATGTGCAGAAGAATTCAGTTGTTCTGCTGCAGGGTGGGGAAGAAACCCAGAGATACTGTACTGACACTGGTATTGTGTTTCGCCAGGTAAGAGCTGAATCAAAACTTCAAATCAAATTAAGGAACTTTCTTCAACTGCATGAATTTAAAAATGATTTTAAATTGTTCTCCCTTTATCTTCCAGGTGTGCATTGTCTTGCTCCACTTAAATAAATTGGCTTCTTTATCACATTGCCTCTTCAGCTTTGAGTTACTCTCTCTTTCAGTGCTTTAGTGTGCAGGCTCATTATCTGGTTGAAGGGTGCAAAACCTGTTGAAGGCCTTACTGCTCATCACTGTTTAAATCTAATCTTGAAGACAGCAATGGAATATTTCTTCATTTTCTTAGTCTTGTCTGTGACCTGAAAAACAACCATCTTTCCATAATGAAATGTGTTACAGTGAGCCTAAGCTGAATTAATTAATAGAAAAGCATATTTCGTGTTTTTATAAATAGTATATTCCACAAAACAGCATATATATCTTGAAATTTAAAACATGTGTCTTGTCAAATTAGATTCTTCCTTAAGGTTCCATGTGTTCTGTCACAAACAGGACTTAACAAGTTCTGGGGATGTTGGCGTAACAGAACTCTAATTATGCACGTCCCATACTCTGTGTGACTGCTACAGCACTTTGTTTGGTGAATTTAGTTGAGCTGGTTTATGTTTTGAAGAAACAAACCCAGTAAATCCTAAATCAGATAGCACATATTTTAATGTAGTCATTAGTCTGGTTTTAGAAGAGATGCACCTTTCAGGGTACTAGAGCATATGCCTGTCCTTAACAAAAATCATTTCTGTAGTGTTAGGTGTTTGGTTGTTTTCCTTGCTTGTTGTTCTCTTGCCTAAAGGCTGTTCCTAATGCAGCTTCCTTTTCTCTGGGGAAGGCTGGGTTTTCACTTCAGCACTCTGTCTTCACAACCCAGTGAAGCTGCACTCTGCCTTCACAACCCAGTGAAGCTGCACTCTGCTTTTGCTTTGTCTCTTGTGACGTGATTATTTCTGCCTGATCATACATTTCCCTAATTCTAGATTGGAAGAATGTATTTTAATGTGGTGTATGTTTATTGTGCTGAGTTAACCTGTTTATTTCTTAGGGTGGTTTATTAACCTCTTACCTTTTCCAAATCCCAACAGAGAGTTTTGTATTATTCTAACCTAAAACTAATCAGTCTGAAAAGGTTTAGACCTAAGCCACTTCTGCCCCTCCAAAAGCAAGAGAGACCTCTTCCAGATACATGGAAGTAGTTATTATTATGTACTATAGTGTATTTTTAGAGCTGGTAGAAGTGAGGTTTTTCTTCTAAGAATTTATTTGTTTTAACCTAGGAATCTTACTTTCACTGGACTTTTGGAGTAACTGAAGCAGGCTGCTTTGGAGCAGTAGATGTTGATACTGGAAGATCCATCCTTTTTGTTCCACAACTCCCTGAAAGCTATGCTGTTTGGATGGGAAAGTAAGACCTGCCTTTTAACTGCATTCCAATGTATCCAAGTAACTGTCTGTAGGGCTGCAATGCTTTAGCATTTAATCAGATTCCACCAAATCATGCAGTGGGAATTGTAGTGACGTGTACATACAAGGATGCAAAACAGGATCAGTTGGTATTGATCACATGATACCAAATGATCCACCACCATTTGGAAAAGAACACCTTTGGAATTGGAACCCATGGGTCTCATGGTATCTTTGAGAGAAGGTGAATCATAAAGAAAAGTCATTATCTTGTGTTAAGCCCAAACAAATTAAATAATAAAGCAGGCTTTGTCAGGCTGCTTTACCAGTTTGCAGCAGCCTTAGCTAATGAAGCTTTTTGAATGGCAGAAGGTAACCTCTTGGATACCTTTCTATATGAACTCACAGACTGGGGAATGTGATTTGACTTCTATTCCATGAGTATGCCATAAACATCTCTCTATCCACCTTGGTAGTAAATATTGCACAATGCCATAATAGCGGAGGAATTGATTTATGTATGTGTTCGTTTATTTTCTCAGTCTTAATTGTGTTTACACCCTCTACCAAACTGTAATTTTTTGTGTTGTCTACATTGTCTCAGAACATTGGATTACTTCTAATCTAATATTTTGACAGGCTGCTTCTCTTCTAATTGAAGCTATCACTTATATTTCAGTGCTAATTTTTGGGGAAAGGAAAACAGTTGTAAGCAATCCCTTGTGCTGAACTGTGCCAGACCATATGGCAGGGCATGGCTCCTGTCTTGTCAGAGAGTTTGTATGAATATTGCTGTCTTAGACCTGCCTGGGAACTGAAATTGTGATGGTGTGAAAATGTGAATACTGCTGTCTGAAATATTTTACCTGAGAGCTGCACCTGCCTGGGAGTGCAGGTTCTGTAGCCCCCACGTGCACTCTCTGAAGTCTGTTCCCTCATGATGCTTGTCCCCACTTACAGACAAAGTTTTTTCCTCCCCCTGAGTTCTCTTCTGCTGGTTCAAATCAGCTGTTTCATACCCACACTGGTTATGCCTAATCTAAAAAAAGCTTAAAAATATTATTTTGATTGAAATGCCAGCATCTCATTTTGCCTCTTCAAAGAAAACATCGTGGTGTTTATAACTAGTGGCCTTTTTGATTTGTTTGTGCTGCACTTGTTATCTGTCCATTTACAGGATTACAAACCTGCTTAAGAGTGGTTTATTGTCATTGTGTCTTCTTACAGAGTATAACAAATGGTCTTTATCACAGCGTCATTCTTTCCTAAATGCTCCTCTTTACCCTTCTTGAATTCCTCTGTTTGAATCTTGTTTTCTCTTCTGTCGGCCGTGGTCGTGTACTTTTTCTGCTTGTCAGAAGGAGGATGGATGAATAACTCATTTCTGAGTCAGTAGCAGTTCTGCTTCATAAGTTGGTTGGCAGAGGGTACTGCACACAGCCAGGGATTGTGTTCCTTCCCAGAAGACTCAATTTTAATTCAAAATTAACCCTGAAAGAAAAACACAAATAAGTTTGCCTTCCCTCCACTGCAGTTTATCTGCTATAGTTTGCTGTGGAAGGGCTTACTTTGTGCACGTGGAAGGCGCTATCCCCCCACTGAAGAAACAGTCATTTAACATCCCTGAAGCACAAATCAGTTCAATGCCTTGTGTGGTATTTGTGAGGTTGGTATTTTACAGAGGTCTGCAGCTGGTCTTCTAGTTCATAGTGCAGGGTGGAGTTGCTTTGCCAGGTGTTTATGTTGCTTTCTATTTCAGAGAGATGTGGGAATCTGTGATGTGAATTTAGGCAGAAATGCATAGATTCTCTTCAAAGTAATGCAGAAGGCCCTTTGCTACTATTTTACTGCTACTGTATTACTCAGTGTATTGTTTGATGTACTGCTGTGCTTTCACTTCTGAAAAACTCACGTTTGAGTTGTTTTCAAAGCGTAGCTTGGGTAATGTGTCAGTCTGAAAGGACTTTGGCATTACTTTTGCCTTGAAGTAATGCAAAAGTGGAGCTTCTTTCAAGCTGCAGTGTCAGTTTGGCCAAAGCCAACATTGTCTGAGAGCGTTTGCTTGCCGAGGAGCAGACTATTGGTTTACAAATGTGACCACGAACACTGTAATTATTTCAGCCTCACCCAGTGCCCTTGTCTTTAACGAAGGGTGCTGCATGCTGAGGTGGTGCCTGGGGACTCTGCAGAACAGGTGAAGAGGGAGATGGTGGATGCACCACCCTGGGCTGTGGTCTGCTCATGACCCAGCACTGCTGGTGCTGAAGGCAGCCACTACTTTGGAAGTGTTACCTGTCTGGTTGGACTTCATGCTGAATGTGTACGCCCTAAAGATTTGTAAACAGCTGTAAGGTTACCTTTCAGAAGTCCTTCAAGCCAAAATAACCTCTGCAGTTTTAAAAGGGATTTAACTCACAGACTGTGAGCCTTCTCCAAAAAACCCACAACCTCTTCAGGTGGCAGTCGCAGAATTGTTAGGAGGATGATTTTGGGACTGGTGGCCCTACATCCAGGGAAGGGATTGCAAAGACAGTTGCTCTGTTTTTGCGCTATGGGTGTGGGCATTTCTCCAGATGTTGGGTCAGCCAGTTGCTTAGTTAGCTGGGAAAATCTTTTCAGGTAAGAGAACCACTTTGCCTGTCCCTTGACCTGTCCCTCTGCCCCTGGCAGGAACACAGACTCTGAGGATGGTTTAGGCTTTTCCTATTCCTGGCTTTAGAAGGAAGAGCTGAAGAAATGAGTCTGGCAATACAAGATTGTAAAGGCCCCTCTTTCTTGGCATGGTCTTACCCAGTCAAGTCTGTGGTACAACAAAGCTGTGAGCAATCATTTCTCTTCCTAGAAAGCATTAAGTTGGTATGACTGCATGTCTTGCACAGAGACTTCAATTTCGCTAATTAATGCTGCACCTGCCATTTACCTCCTTAATTATAAATGACAGAACTAGTCAGTGTGCTGATTAAAGATATTTTACAAAGTAAAACACGCCATACAGCAGCTGCTTTACGTGGAATGCATGCCAAAATAACTTCATAGCCCTGCCATGTAAAGAGTGTTTTTAATGGAAAACAATAATATTTAACTGTTTCATGCTCTGACATTTTAGAAATATACATGAGATGTTACAGAACAATATTTATGTTCAATTTCCTGTGTTTTCTTTGAAGCCTTGGTCGATGATTGGGCAGTATTGCAGTGTTAATGCACCATTGCCCCCACTATAAGTAAGGTTTTTCCATGAATATGATTGGAAACTATCTCTATGTGCAAAGTTGAACCTTGGAACTGTGATAAAGCACAATGAAATGCTTTGCAAATGTTAATAATTTCACAGTAAACTAATGAGGAGGCTTTTTAAAACACTGTCATCGTTTTCTAAGTAGGTTACAACCAAAATCAACCTTTGGTTTTGGTGATTAAACTTGATTGAGTTCAGCAAAGCTGAGCAGTTTTACTGCCTTTGGAAAAAGGAGAAGTATGTGGTTGGGTTTATTTGTTTGTTTGCTTTTTTCTTTGCAAAGCCTTTGTAAAAAAAAAAAACAAACAAAAAAGCGCCTTTCAGTCTCTGTAGGCTTTTACCATTTTTATTCCCTCTAGACTGTATGTGACCAGGAAAATTAGAAGCTAGGAAATTGCTTTCTTGATCTCTTTTTCTTAATGGAGATTAGTGAGATTTTGTGGCATTTGTATTTGGAATAATTGTGAGTATTAAATTATGCACAGCGTGGTGTGTTTATCTGACTGCATCATGGTGACCAAGACTGGTGCATTAATTAGCCCTTGGCTTGGTGACAAGAAGGCAAGGTCTGTAGCAGGCCCATTCCATGCAAGCTGACATTGGAGACAGCTGTTTGGAAAGGAAGTGTGGAGGTGCTGATCATCTTAATTGCTCTTCTTAATGTACATTTTGCAGGAATGAAGGACATCTTCTGCATAAGTTTTATTGATGTGTTGCACACAGGTCCTCTCCTCCATAGTCTGCTCTGGAGCTCTGTGTTCAGATAGTGCAGATTCTTTGTTTTTACCTTCAGAACTGATCTGCCATATCATCTCCTGCTATTTTAATTTTCATTTTAATTTTAGTTATTTCTATATCTCTAAAATGAAATATATGTTTTTCTGTTTCTATCAGTTTGACCTTTTGCTGCAGTTTGTCCCTTCCTCGTACCCACTAAATCTTTATTTTGCTGTTTAAAAGAAAAATATCAGGTTTTAATCACTTCAGGTCATCTTATTACTGTTTTGCACCAACTGGCAATTGAAGTTTATCTGCAGAGTTATCACCTGCAAATGTCATCTGTGGACCTGTACTCAGTCCTGCTTCTGTTTCTGAATAGTGTCAGAACTAATTTCAGTCTTTGCAGTATCCCACTAATCAAGGCTTGCAGTCCATTGCTGTTTATCACTTTAACTTCTGGGAATATCAATCTAAATTGATATAGCACCTTTCACTGTGGCATTTGGAGGGTTTCCCAGCCCTTGAAATGCTCATCTTTTTATCTATTTATTTATTTTTATTTTCTTCTTTAGGCTTTTCCATTTTTTTTATTATGACTGCTCATTGGGTTTCAGGTCACATTGTGGTGTTCCTGTCCAAGCCAATTTGAGTTGCTTTTGGAGAGTAACAGTCTTGAGAGAGATTCTTATCAAATATTTTACTATTATTCAGGTAGTACCTCTGTTGCTTTACCCTTCATCTGATCCTTTCAAAACTGTACAATAAAGCTGGTTGCTTTTGATTGACGAGACTTACTTGTGCAATTCCCCAGGCTGCTTATTATCCATAATTCCAATTCTCTCCCTGACTTCCATTTCTTGTCACCCATTCATTCATTATTGTATTTCAGAGAATCATAGAATGGCCTGGGTTTGAAGGGACCTTAAAGATCATCTCATTCCACCTCCTGCCATGGGCAGGGACACCTTCCACCAGCCCAGGTTATTCCAAGCCCTGTCCAACCTGACCTTGGACACTTCCAGGAATCCAGGGGCAGCCAAAGCTTCTCTGGGCAACCTGTGC